TGGCTGTCACCACTTTAAGCGTATTTGAGGAGGATGGTAGGGAGGGGGCCTCAGAAGGTAGGGAGCCTTTGCATCCTTTGCATGAGATGGTAAAACAAATATTTGGAAATTAAAATTGGAAACAAAGGTGGAGTAGTTGAAACCTGGCCCCACATTAAGATGCTGTTGGTCAGGTTGTGCTCTGGACAGATGCCCATTTTGCATCCCATTGCCACAGACTCAGTGAACTAACGGGCACATTTCAATGTCTGAACCTTGTCGGCATGCCCATCTAACAGGTACTAGAGGTTCTTTTGCGAGTGGCAAATCGGAACAACACACAGAGCATCGTTTCTTTTTTTGGGCCTGCGGGCATGAATTAGAGACTGTCACTGGGATGAAAGCTTATTTGAATACCATAAAAAGCAAATATTCAGTAACAGTAAAAAAATTCAACTAGCAGTAAAGAAATAATGTTTAACATTTCACCTAGTGCAAAATACGCTGTAGGGTTTCTTTGCAAGTGTTTATTTTGCAAGGCAACAAATATAACATACTGGTCCGTGATGCATCCCCCATTAACCACCTCATTGCAGAGAACAGGGCCCAGGTCGTGTGCCTTTGATCACAGTAGGGATGTTAGCAGAAAATAGTGGAGGGAAGAAAGTGACTTAATATACAACCTTGGTATAAGCAAGAAGCCATAACGGGGCTGTTGTAGATTTTGATAAATTAAATTTGGAAATGCATGATCCACGTAAGTAGGGTAATATAAGAAAGGCTTAAAAATGTTGCTCATCTTGTAAACAGCAATTCCAAACTATTTTATTTAACATTTGGTATTGTAAACAGGTATCCTGGACATACACCTTCCACCACATTTCTTTAATAAGGGTACTTTATATTTTATCAAAAACGTGTGTTAATAGATTGTAGCTTAGCCTTTGTCAAAAGACATGCAAGTAGTATTTACATTAAAAGGGTTTCCCCAGAAGAAACACTGAATCCGTAATACACCCCCTTCAAAAGTCAAAAATATTTATTTGTCAGGTAAACTATAGCATCAATATCTTTTGATATTTTAGATATTAATATTTTTGGACCTCCGTTGGTTTCCACACTACCATGCAAATTTCTGGCTTGTTTTAACACAGTAGTCCTATCTCTATAGGCTATTGAATAGGGTATATACATTTTAATTGCTCTTTTTTGAAAATATCACCAGGCAGTTCAGAATAGCTCATTTATTGATAATATCGTGACATTCAAGGACCTTAATATTGGCTGATGATAACAACAGGGAATAGGTCAGACTTTAATAATGGAATGTATGGGATTGTCACTTTTCCTCAATCTTGACCCATTTGAAAATGTTTTCTACTCAAGCTATATTTTAGATAAGCACAGATATAAATATCACTACTTAGAAAAAACACTTATTTTAAGCTCAGGATTCGTTAGGGCTAAATGTTCATCTATACACACTTTATACATAATATGTACAGACTTTGTAACCAAGTGCCACACAACTAGGGCACACATACATATTAGTTACCTCGGTTTTCAAAGGTTGTGTGTCAACTCTGCATATTTTGTGCCAAGGAGATACTATCAACATTATTTTTTGCATAATGTGCAAGTATTATATGGCCACAGTGTGTAATACAAATTAGTGGCAAAGTGCTGAGGGAAGGAATCCATGACAGATTCAGATGTACAAGGTTGAATATTACCCGTAAACTACCTGACTCTGCTAAGGTCTTAACAGCACAAAGCGCTATGTCATGTCCCGCTTTTAAACTCGGACACCATGAAACTTGTTCAAGGAATTTTACCATAGCCACCGGCAATAAAAAGACTGGTACGAGTGAAAAATGACACTGGGGGAGCGATATGGAAAATCACCCAGAAAAATCGTTTCCAAAATGTGCCATCTTTCCTGAAAACAGTAATTGTGTAATGACATGTGCTTTATTTTTGGTTTAAAATATATTAGTAGGATTACACTACCAAAGTTAAAGGGCCTAAGGATTTTGTTAATCATTTATTTTTTACAAACACTCAGCAATTCATTGAGAATGTTGTTTCAAAAGTTAGACTGCGAATGGGAAAATCTTATTTGCAACCCAATTTCTTCTTCCAAAAAAAAATTAATTTCATACTTCTGATACCTTAAGTGTTGGGCTGATTTAAAAAAAGTCTCTTTGCTCTAGGGTTTTCTTTAAATTCAGAAAAAAGAGGAAGATAGTTTTCTTAAAAACTTCATGGCATACTAGTTTATATTTTTTTAATACATGAAATCTTATTTGTATTTTAATTCAAATTTCTTTTGCTCAACATGGTTTTTTAAACTCTAGTGCACAAGACTGTTTAAAAGTTTTCTCACTTAATAAAAGAATTGAAAACTTTTCAATCAATGTTAAGTTTGCAGCAAACCAGCTGCCTTCATAGTAGTTCAGCTGTGCTTGAAAAGTAAATACTTTTGAGAACTGAATTGGGAGTTTTCAATGATCCCATTTCAGTTACCTAAGTAAAAGTTCGCCACTAAAGCAACCCAGTTGCCTAGCAATGCGTGGCTTATCAGGGCCTAGGGCAATGGCAGGAAAAGAATGGGCCGTTTCAGGACCAAGTTTTAAGGAACCTGGATACCCCTATTAACATGGAGGAAACCTTAATAAAAGGAAGCAAAATACAAAGTGAATATAAAAATAAAAATAAAAACCTGTAACACTGGCCCCATCCTTCCTATGACCATTAGCACACCTAATTTTGTATCTTGACGATTGTGTTTGAGTTTCAGGTGTGTTGTTCTTACTTTCTCATGTGGTTCTTAGTTATGACATACACAACCAAATGAACTGAGTTAACTTATATTCCATTTATAACCTTAAAAAAATACACTGCTTATTAAGGAGTTTTATACAAAAGGTCCCTTTTTCCCCTACTTACTTTATGTTACTATTAATGGCCTTTAAAAACATTTGTACATTAGCTTTAAAAAAAGTGTTGCCATGAAGGAAGTACTGTGGAATAAATGCAGAAGAATCCATTCTAAGCACATAGCTGCTGGAGACTGGATTTATGTTTTTGTGGGCAAGTCTTCAGACCATCCTGCTACCTGTTTATTAAAAGCAAAATGTTAACCCCAAACAGGTTACGATCTTCATAGTTAAACTTTAAAAATGAGCATGTGTTTGTGATTTAAATTTACAGTGTGTCGAGTGACTTTTCTTTCCAATCGCTCTTTTAAGAATCAGTAAAATATCATCCAGAAAGTATTAACATGCACCTAACGGAGAGGGCCATCTTTGACTCCTGAAAGTGACTTCACATAAGCAGACAGACCCTCCCATGTCATACCATACAAACAATTTTAATTGCGTAGTTACAGTCAATAACCACTCCTAATCAGAACATTTCTGCATAAAGAAAATTGTGATACACTTATAAAAACAGCCAGCTGTAACAAAATAGCTGGTGTTTTCATAGCCTTAAACTCATAAAAAAGAAATACACCTTTATACAGAAATTTTATACAGATGTAGCTTTAAAATTGATTGTAAACCAAAGGAAGACACATTGCAAACATCAATTATTTTCACATTAATTGCATAATTTTCTAAGGTGATCTATTAGTTTTATTTACCTAAGCTTATTTGCATGGTAGTAAAAATTGCATACAACAATAAGAGTGAAGCTTATAGTATGAATTGCTTGGATAACATAGAGCACTTTTTATAGGCAACTGTGTAAAGCACATTTTCTCTATTTAAAACTTTTTAAGACACTTTGTTTTACTGCCCATCAAAATACATTTATAAATAGAAAAGAATCAGTATGGTAACAAGAGAAGCAATATTACATTTAACGGAAACTTCCAAAAAATTAATTACAACATGATGCTGCAGGATCTACAAATAAATAATGACTAAATCGTGTTTCACATTTTTCTTTTCATTTTTTAAAAAAGCATTTAACAATGAGAATGAAGAGAAAAAAAAAATTACAGTGAACTTTTATTTCCAAAATAAAAACAAATTTGAATTACGGCAGTGCCATATAATACAAGGCATTTGTTGGCATATGTCATCTTTAAACTGCATTCCACAGTCTATAGTTCTTTTGTAACATACAATAGAGTAACAAACTCTCTTTTTTTTTTTTCTTTCAAAATAAGGGGCGAGTTTCGAAAGATCAGTGTGGAGTGTTACAGAGATAATTAAAGGAAGGAAATCATCATCACAGAAGTTATAATGCTTGTTTGAGGCTCCAGAATAATAATAATTATTTAAAAAATAAAAATAAAAAATCAAAATCACTGGTATCATGCTGACGGGGTCCGCCCCTCGGTGCGTCCCGAGAACACAGATCTGCATCGTTAACACCAAACAATCCTCAGCGCTTCCCGGGGCTGCGCGCAGTCCGCAGGGCGGCCTCGCGGCCCGCTCGGCTCTCCCGTCGCGCGGGTTTCCC